CTTGTTGGGGCACTTCACTATAGTTCTTTACCTAGCTTGATTCTCATGTTTTTTGCTGCAGTTGATGTCATTGAGATGATTGCCAATGATGATATTAGTTGTGGGAAGAGAGCTGAGGCATGTATTTTGTTGGGATTTATGCTGACCTTTGATTTTGTATTCAGTCTATATCTCGTGAAAAAAGGTATTGGGTATTTTAGATAAATTGTGAAAATCATTACAGAGAAGAGATCAAGACATTGTTAATGCTATGAAATTAGTGAAAATATGCAAAGAATAACTTTAAACAATGAGGGACAATGAATGGGACTAACTTTTAAGCATAGTTTCTTGTTTTTGCGAAAGGTACAATATTGATGTTCCCAACATGGCTGATATGTTTATACCCCTAGGTTGCTTACGACGTAACAATCAAGGAAAGACAAATTTGCATAATCTTCGTGTCGATTTCTTCATGTTGTCATTGATCTGCAAATTCAAGAATAGAATGATCGTTTCTCCGAGGCAAATAGCGACTTACTCCTTTGTATTGCATACTTGTGTCCCGATAATTCAATGATTTTAAACTAATAGAGATCTTGACACTTGAAGAGTAACTTCAAACATATATTATTGATATACGCACTCACAAAGATTTTGAAGAATTACAAGGCCTTAATGATCTTGCGAAAAAGTTGGATGTGACGAAAAAATGAGGTATACCTATTAGTTTACAGGCTGTAACATTAGCATTAATTCTTCCAGTTGCTACTGTTACAGTAGAGAGAGTATTTTCTGCAATGAAGGTTGTCAAGAATCGACTATGTAATCGGATAGGTGATCAATGGTTAAGTGATAGTTTGGTTGCATATATCAATAACGATATATTGACAATATTAGTAATGATGTAACTATACGACATTCCAGAGTATTAAAACTCGTAGGCTGCAATTGTATAGTGTATTGACTTATCTTCATTAATAATATGTTGTTTTTAAAAAACTTGTATTTTAATTTTTGACCCCACAACATCAAATGTCTGGCTCCATCCCTGAGCGATGGTACAATAAATTGCCATTAGGTTCAATCTAGAGTTGGTCATAGTTAAAGCAAGCCTTCTTAAGGATAGTCACATGTTGCAGAATAGGACAAGCTTCGATGATGAAGCAATGACACGTGACAAGAAGAAGAAGAGTCCTTGAAGAGTTAGTTTGCACATTTCAGCATAGAATTGATCGCCTGCAAAACGATTTCAGATGAGAAGGTAAGGGACACCTTATAGAATGTACTTATGAAGACTCTCTTTTGGCAAAGTGTCCGCAAAAAAAAATCCAGCCTCCTACAATGAGATCCAAATGGACGATACAATTGAAAATTGGAAGATGGTAGAGCAGGGATGAGCTCTTAAAGGGAAAGCTTACACATGCGCCTAAATTGCCAAAGCATCAATAATCATGCCTTAGCAATCACAAGAGAAAAGTACATATGATCTCTCCGGTTCCTTTTCATCTAGTAGGCAAAACGCATCCATCCTCTGGTAGTTGTAAGGTAAAATTTTGTAAAATTCCTTGTAGCAGGTATCAGGATAAGAATGTGTTATGAGTTTATAAGGATGGCGAAGTTGTAAGATCAACAAGGTGGGATACATGAATGATCTAACAGTTGGAAGCCTCCGTGTCTAGTACTAGAGGGCGAGGTCAAGGAGGCAGATCAAAACAGATGGGCTCCTCGTGAGTACCAGCAGGCAATCAATATACTTGAACTCTGATAAGAGAGATTCGCGAGTTAAATGTTTCAGCAATCATTGAACTTTGCATAATGTCAGGTTTTACTCACTATACTTTCATTTGCAGGTCATCACTCGTTGAACTTTACAAAGTTGCACTCCATCACTAACTTGCTAACTTTCGTCTTCACAGTCCGCCTACGTCGAAGACGGCTTTTATATGTGGCCATCAAATGAAGCAAATGGAAGGATGAATTGCCCAATCAGATTAACCAAAAATGCCTCACCCAATTTCAACATTGAAGTTACGATTTGGGAACCAATTTTCTTCAAAAACGCTCGGTCTCCATCAGCTCTGAAGGTGAAATCTTCCAAACTCCATTGAACCCCGATTCCCCAAAATCAACCTTCAGTGAATTTGAAGAACTGCAAAGGGTGATTGTTGAATCGATTAAATGGAGAGAATGCGCGAAGGTAATTCAGAAAATTTCTCACCTTTTGTTATTTTCCATCACTGGCATTGTAGTACAAACTAGTATTGTTGTACCAACTGAGGTGTTGTTCAAGGCTCCTATTTTCCATACTGAAGTGCAATCAATGTCCAGATCATAGGGCAAACTGTTTTTGTTGTTTGCATCCTGCCATGCTCTAATTCCATCAACATCACTCTTGCATTCTTTCATTTTTTACATCATAGGGCTTCAAGCTTGCTAGCTGCATTTTAGTTTTTACAGTACCATAAGTCATTAATAGATGCATCACAATTTCTGTTTCGTAGGAAAGAACAAGAGAATTTGCCACTGTTACAGAGAACCAGGCCACCAATTTTGGGTATGCCCAAAGAAGCAGTAATGTCCAGATTGTGCTGAAGGCATCATGAAATGGATGGAATTAGAAAGGACGAAGAACATAGTTCGGTTATTCTTTGTTGCACTAGAAATTGTGAGTTCTTTGAATAGAGCAAAATCCCACCCCACAAATGTAAACTATTACAAGATGAAGGTCAGTTAAATGGTGTTAAAGATGAATGAAAAGGNATTAAAGATCTTTCCAGTTTGTTCAAGAATGAGGCTGATATTACTGAATAATGAGACTCAAGATATTCCTTAAAATAAGCTTCCGGAAGGTTAAAGGCGACACGAAGGACAGTGGGAAAGAAAGGGGAAGGGAGTCATGAATGTATTCCACTTATTGTTGATGACGAGACAAAAAGAACTAGATTTTCATTTCCTGTTTGTGTAATGATAAGTAGACATTTCATGCTATTACTTTCATGTTTATTGGTGGTGTTAATTTGTTGTACTTGATGTTTGATGTTGTGATGATGTTAAACCATGATCAATTTTATCTAGTATCAGGTATGTGTTCATATATGGTTTATACATTAGCACATATGCTATAAGAAAATAAAGGAATGAAGTTCTCCCTTTGCAAATGGGAGAATAACACGAACCAGATGAATGCTTGAAGAATAATTTTACTAAAAAATGCTTTCAAGTTGTTACAATTGTTTAGCTGTTACAATTGTTTAGCTCCACACGTATATATACAGTGAATGAGAAGAATCTAGAATACTTAGACAAATTGAAGTAATTGGCTGAAAAGAAAATGCTATACAACTAAATCTAACAGAAAAAGAAAAAGGAAAAAGACCCTATGTAACAGAATTTAACAGAAGGAGAAAATGGTCTTCAATGACGTTTCTACCTTGCACCATTATGCTTCATCTGATGGCTTTTTTCTTGTTGATCATCAGCTCGTTGATGTTGATTGTACATCTCTGTGTTCCATATTTCAACATATGCCAGCTATAAGTCATCAAATTATCCATTGAATGCAATCACGCAACTTCAAGAATTGACCTTTACTACATTTCACAAAAAAAAATACCTATGGAACTTTAATTCATTTCAATGAAACCAGTAGCAATACCATATTTAGTTTTTACGTTGTACACTGCACATCCAAAAACATTTCATATCAGCAACAATACCAGCACAACATTAAACTGCTTTCACAAAAAATCAACAGTACCTCCCAACAGCAACCATGTTCATGCTGCCTTCAAAAACTAGCACAAAACCTTAGCGAAATTACATGTCTCCCAGCACATATTCACATCAACTAATGCATAAAAACCATCATCAAACACTGCACAAAATTTGCATCAAAGCACTGCACAAAAACTAGCTGCTGCCTTCAACTTCTATACACCGCATCACGTCCCATAGAATTTGCTCTTGTTCGTCCACCTCCTAAAGCTTCAGTCACTGCGCTATGCTTGGATTCACCATCGAAGTCTTGAATTTGGATTTGCTCAGTCCAAACGTTTATGTTTAATTATGATTCACCATCAGTAGGGAAAATTGCAGTAGGTCCATTGCTGGCTATAAAAACACGTTGATGGTCGACACCAAGAGTCAGCATGAATTGAAAATCGTGAACTTCCTCGTTTGCTTGGCTCGAACCAGCACTTTTGGTTGAAGATGGTGATGGTAGTTGATTTTGGGAAATTAGGGTTCAGAGAAATTCGAAGGATTTCACCTTTGAAGCTGATGGAGACGGAGCGTTTTTTGAGAAATTTGGTTCCCAAATCGCAACTTCTATGTTGAAATAGGGTGAGGCATTTTTGGTTCATTTGATTGATCTATTCATTCTTCCATTTGCTTCATTTGACGGCCACGTATGAAAGCCGTCTTTTACGTAGGCTAACTATGAAGACGGAAGTTAGCGGGTTGGTGATGGAGTGCAACTTTGTAAAGTTTAGTGAGTGATGGAGTGCAAATGAAAGTACAGTGAGTGAAACGTGACATTATGTAAAGTTCAGTGACTGTTGAAACATTTAACTCGAGAGATCCGCACAATCATTGGAGGTCCCTACATTGGTGGAGAAACGACAAACGTACAAAAGAATTATGTTCGAGGTGCCAAAAAGGCTACGTTAGAGAATTTTTGGATATAAGCTAACCCCAAAACTACATCCATTCCAATAGTTTTCAATAATCCCGGCTGTAATATGTTGGTAGTAGAGTTATAATAGCTTGCAACGGCTTTAGCTGCATGTTGTGGATAATGGCACTCTATTAAAATATTATTCAGATTTGCTTTTAACCAAATGTAGATTGATCATCCTTGGGTACCAATCTAAACCACTCTATGGCTTCACTATAGATGCCTTAATCCCTAAAGGATAGACTATACTAGCTTTGGAAATAGGTGAAGAGCCAACTGTATTCTATGGATAAATGGAGTTATTAATCATGGATAGTAGGTTTGCGCATAACGGGATTCTTGGAAGGCCTGCCTTAAAAATAACTCAGAGCTGTAACCTCTATCTATCACCTATATCTCAAATTTGAGACTTTGAAAGGAGTAGCTATGGAAAAGGGAGATCAAGCTATCATGGATAAATGCTAGTTCAGCACTCTAAGGAAAGAAGACCCAAGGGCGCCCCTAATCATTACTACCATGATTATTGAAGGAAGCATGCTTGAAAATCCTTTTGCAGGAAAGAAAACATTCGAAGCTGTAAATGATAGGCTGAGAAACCTATTTACTAGGAAAGATAATTTTACATGTACAGGGGTGAGGCATTGTAACATTGAAGCTGGGCTTGAAATATGGTCGCAGCAACTCTGTAAAAGAAAATTGGAAGGGTGAGTCTCTCTCCACCTACTATGACAGTCCAACTGCTAGTAAGGATAATCCTACCAAAATTTCCATGTTTGAAGGCGAGAATCTATTTGCCAAGGAAACCATGTTTGAAGGGAGGTCAATCTCGCCATTGAAAAGATATGAAGGCAAACAATGTTCTCCCAAGGAAAATAGGATTGAAATTATTTCTCTAAGTTTCCAAAAAAATTGCAAAGGGCAAGCCTATGGCTACCATACTAGATTGTCATGACAAAATACAGTGTAGATACACATAAATTTTTATGAAATAGATTCAATTGTTTCTGTGATATATTTTGTTACATGGTAAAATACTATATGGTTTGCATCTTATGAGTTACTTTGCAAAGTCATTTACAATTGTGTGAAGTAAGGTCATCAACCAAAACTGACATACATTCAGGGTAATAGCAGTGCAGTATTAAAATAAGTGAATAACATCATAACGCGAACCCATAAGTAAATTAAAAAAGAAATCCCAGAAGAAATTTTCTTGTGGAACTCTAGAATAATTTAGGTTATATTACCGCGTTGCTACAACACTTCCTAAAAGTCCAAATTAAAGTTTTGGTCACAGTAGTAAAGTTGCGGGTTCTTATTTTAAAATTTTTATAAGGTGTCGAATTCTAATTTAAACGGCAAATTTTTATTTTGGTTTAGTTGCATTATTTGTGGCGACAAATTTTTTTATTAATTGCTGCCTATGTTAACTCTTTAAAAATTAAAATTTGATACACTTAATATATGTGCCAAACAGCCCTTAAACAACAAGATTTTCTCCTACAAAGAGTCCCTGAATCAACCACGTTATTTTGATCCCTCTCACCTGTCAACCCTAAATCTGATTTCTTTCTACACTAAGACAACCCATTTACTTATTTATTTATTACTGTCTACTAACTTAGTTATCTAACGACCCACTTACCTTATCAATTTAAACTCCTAATTATGTCCTAAACTATCTACTTCATTCATGTTTGAAAATATTAACCTCTTTCAACTTCTTTAGCAACGTCTATCTTAACGTACATCATTGACATTGTATATGACATTTGCAAATTACTTGCATTGATATTATGTCGTTGTTTAGAGCTACTGCAGAGACATATAATTTGGCAAAATTTGAGATCAATATACAAGCATTACATAGTCTACACAAGAAAATCTGAGGGTACTTAGATGATGATGTTGTCCTGGAGTTTGGTCAAGAGCACATTTCAATGGAATCAAATAAAATAGTATGACCACAAACAATGCAAAATCATTGAACGCATTATTGAGAAGTGCTCGAGAATTTCTGCTTTGATCGAGCATATCAGAGAGAAGATACAGAGATGGTTTCATGATAGACGTGTTGATGCCAAAAAATGTACGAGCTATCTCACCCCGCTCTTGAAAGAGAAAATGTACGATAGGTATAACAAGTCAAAAGGTTTCCAGCCCAGATGAAATGCAAAGTTTCATTGTTAAAATTGGAGAGGGGGACATGCACATGTAAGAATTTGATTTGAGCCAATTTTCATGTGCTTATGTAATTACTGTAGTAAGGGATGTTGGAGATAACTGCTATAGGTTTTACTCTCCGTTTTATAGCACTTTTTACTAGAAACAAGCTTATTCTGAATATATATATCCACCACCAAAGAAAGGTGGTATGACTATTGACACGAAGAGGAAGCAGACATCCACAAAAAAAGGAACAATTGTCGAAGAGGTACGCAAGTCTTGTAAGTGTAGTAGGTGTTTGAAAACTGGGCATAACCGCATCACTTGTACAGATCATGTACCACTTAGTTAGAGACATGAATGATACATATAGTATGATGTGCTACTTTTGTAATACTAAAAAGGATGATGATGTTATGATATACTGTTTTTGTCATTCAAAAATTTAAACTATTTAAAATGTTTGAAATTATTGATTTTGTCATTATCTTATTATCTTCATCATTCATGTCTCTGCTGAGTGGTACACGATTAGTATATGTGATGTGGTTATGCCCCAGTTTTCAAACACCTACTACGTTTATGAGACTTGTGCACCTCTACGACTGATTATTTCCTTTTTTTGGTGGACATCCACTTCCTCTTCGTATCAATGGTCGTATCACCTTTCTTAATCGAACATCATCATTCACGTCTCTTGCTGAGTGGTACACGATTAGTATATGTGATGTGGTTATGCCCCAGTTTTCAAACACCTACTACATTTATGAGACTTGTGCACCTCTTCGACTGATTGTTTCCTTTTTTTGGTGGACATCCACTTCCTCTTCGTGTCAATGGTCGTATCACCTTTCTTAATCGAACATTATCAGAAATTTTCCACTCCGCCTCATTTGGCAGTGGATATATATATTTAGA